CAGTGTAAATCCTGGACCCACGAGTCAGTCGCATGACATGTCCAGCTCCTTCTTCTGCTTTTTTCTGCTGTTTTTGCAAAAAAAGGGCTACTTTCACACAGAAAATATTCACATGAGTCTCTTTTATGAAAATCCATTTAGTTCATCATCTCCACTCTTGTCCATGGCCATGCCCTCAGTTTCCATCTCACAGAAACCACTTCTGCTCAGATTTCCTTAAAACCCTGGGTAGTGTTCATTCCCACTCTCTGTTCCACTCAATATCTCTTCCTGCTTCCCCTGGGGCTACCTGGTGCTGATCTGCCAAGGAATGACTTTAGCGGAGGAATAAGGGGACCCCTGTCCTCAGGAGGAGGGAGGGTCAAGTGAGAAAATGGGCACCATATGGGCCCATGGAGAGGACACATGGAAGCTGCTAGCAGATGTCAGGGGATGCGCAGTCCCTGATACGTGCCGTGATACTTTATTTAAACTGATTTCTTCCCTCTTGAATCTCCTTGCTTCTCTATGGATTCTCACACGCCAGCCAAGACTCCCCCCACTGGCTCACACACACTCTCTCTTACTCATGTTCCCTGCAGTCCAGAGCCTGAACAGGCTCCAGGTGAGAGGACAGAGTGAATGCTTTTGTCTCATTCATATTTTCCTTCAGCTGGTGATTTCTCCTGCTGTCTAAATGTCATTTGTTTTTCCCACACTTTTTCTTTCTCATTCTTCTCGTGTTTCTATTTTTTTTTTTCCAATTTGAATGGACCAGAATAGTGATTATAATGTTACATTTACTCTTTCCCAAATCTCTATATGATATTTTTTGTTAGATTAATACTTAAAGATATATGCATTGATGTAATTTATCACATATATTATGTATATTTTGTGTGTATGCTACATAGGGTGCATATATATATATATATATATATGCAATAGATCATATAAAGATGAAACTTTTGTAAATTCTCCAGGTTTAGTCTTACCTGGTTCTTTCCTCATCAGCTGCTGTAACCTCTGTCTGGTCTCACCTCTATGTCCCATGGGCTGCCACCCTCCCAGGCCCTTCCATCCCCATCTGCTCTTTGGACTCAGCTGTGATTTGACTTTCACTTTTATAATCTCTTCCCTCCCCAATACATACAGGGGATTTCCTTGCTTTTGCCTTAACTACCTGGAAGATATTTGTGTTTCTTAATCCTGTGTTTCTTGAATATGTTTGTGAAGCAGATGTGCCCTGACCTCATGACAAACTTGCTCTTCCTGAGTAATGTAAGAAAGATCAACAAAAAAGAAAATATTAATGTCACTCTATTGGCTTCCTCTCACACTTTGGACTTTCTTGGCCAAGGCCATATTCCTGATTTGATGTCCTTTGGGTGGAAGAGAAAGTCAC